TCGCCTTCTGATCCCTCCCACGCTCGATGACCTGACCTTGTTCGCTTCCCAGGCGGCCTTGCTGTTGCTTCTCTCCTCCTTCGTCGTCACTCATATCACTCCCCTCGAGACCGTGAACCTCATCGACCATGCTGGAGTACTCGGAGATGTCCATCTCACTGGTAAGCTGTGATGCTCAATCTGCCTCTTTTTCGTCATCTGATGCCTGATCATCGTCGAGCCCGTCGTCCTCCTCAGAGTCCGCATTGGCTCCCTCCTCATATATACCCTCTTCAGCGCGAAGAACGTCCTCAACAACCTGCACTGCACGCATAACCGGTCCAACCTGACAGCCAGCTGTAGCCACAGCCTTCTCGACACTACGAGCTACCCGCGTTGCCTCAAGAATGCGTGCAGCGTCTATGCTGGTCGGAATTGGGATCTGCGGTAAGTTCTTTCCTTGCGAGCGCAACGCGTCCAGACGTTTAAACGCCGCGCGTATGTGCTTGCAGGCGCCACCACGATGTGTAAAGTCGCCACAGGAACAGCTCGTGGCGCCGTCGATTTCCATCGTCACCGTGTAGACAGTGGGCATTTCCTCGACATCTAAAGCGAAGGCGGAGTGGCACTGGAAGGTAAGTCGTGTGGCTGATTCATTGAAATCGAGGTCTGGAACCCCGATCTGATTGCGTTCGAATAGTGCGGCGGCGGCGGTGTCTCGAACCTCGTCAGGGACGAGCCAGGCTATGCTGGGTGCTGGGAGGCTTGTGGTCCCGCGGCTCTCGATGAGATGATTCGCACCCGCGTGTCGCAATCTTGCTTCCCAGGCGAGTCGTTGCTTCTCGTCCAGGCTCCTCTGTTGGTAGATTGACGGCAGGACTTTGGTAATTAGGAGATTTATGAGGACATCAAGGCGAAGACGGCGGCCGTTCCGTTGCCAACGACGTAGGTGTTTGTTCTTCAGGAGGTTGTTGAATGATTCGAGGTGGTTTGTAGTCGGTAAGACCCAGTCGAACGTGCAGCCCAGAATACCCGCTGCAATGTTTCGACCGTGGTCCGACCAAGACTTCCATATCTCGACCGTATCGACCCAGTGAGCTGACAAGTAGTCCAGGTGTGCGATACCACCATCGGCCGCAAATGTCGCGGTGGGATCGAGGGTTTTAAGTCGCACCAGAGTAGCACGCTCAGCGGCAACAAGTTGGCGAGCGTCCTCGTGTACCTTTGTACGTATCAGCTCGTCTTCCAGCCGTGAAAGCCGAATGCGAACCTCGCCAACGCCCGTAGCTGGTGAGTTTGCCTTGAGTGATTGGCCACGATGATTCTTCCAAGCCTGACGAAGGTGAAACTTGCAGAGAAGAAGCCAGATGTTAGGGAAGACCTCGAGGAGCGCATTGCGCTCTTTGAGGTCCGTGTCGGTTATTGCGACGGGCGAGTGGAATGCAGTTCCCTTGCGAACACCTAGGGACGACTTCCACTTCGAGAGAAGTTCAGTGAGTATCGCGGTGTCGTATCCGGCCGGAGTGAATTTGTTCCCTGATGGTGCGGAGAACATCAGAAAGGCGAGTGGCACACCCTTCCTCTGCTCGTCTAGACCCATGAGAATGAACAGTAGGATCTTGCTGTTACAGACTCCGAATGTACCATCAAGAAGGATCTGCTGATTGTGCCCGTACCTCCAAGCAGCCTCTTTCATCTCCGGTGTGGCGATACAAATTTTCAGGCGCTCTTCGGTCGCCGCACGAGCCGAGTAGAAGAAGACGGCCTCAGCGAGGGTTGAGTTGTAATCGGGAGACGATGGGTTGAGCCAGGAATCGATATTGCGGTGAGGCTTCTCATTTACATCAACGCCTTCCTTGCGCTGAGCCTGGCGGTAAAGTGAGCGCGAATCCGTTCTCTTGAGCAGCCAGCGATAGTTCGAATAGGCCCAATCTGCCTTCTGTCCAGGGTACAAACAATCTAGCACGTACTTCCGGTTCTTTTCCATGATATCGGACCAAGTCGAGCCATCACGAAGTTGATCCAGTGCGACCTTGTAGACAGCGGGGTGAACGGGGTGTGTAGGTTTGTTCTCCATCGTCGCCAATCGACACGCTTCGTTGTGATCAAGGAAACCACGGATGCGCAGAACCTTAGACGATGGGAGCTCATAGGTCACTTCGGCATGACCAAGACAGCCAGTGTACGGGAAGGTAATACGCCGCTGTTTGGTACCCGTGCTTGATTCGTCGTAGCCGCACTTGCTGAACCATTGCCATAGCCATTTAGGAACGATAAGAGAGCGATTATATGTTGATGGAGTCGAGTATGGACGAACCACTGATATAACACCCTCTCCGACAAGCCTCCCTTCCTCTTCCCAGTCTGATCCTTCCACTGCATGCTCCAACGACCGGGTATGTCTCCTCGTGCATGCTCATCTAATCCAAGAGCCTCAATCTGACGCTTTGCCTCTTCTTGCTCAGCAGCACTTCCGGGAGAATAAAGCTTGTCTTGTATCTTCCCGGCTCGGTATAGTGCAGCAATCGAGAGAGCCTGCTCGTAGGATGTAACGAGCTGTTGTAAAGGGACTTCCGTAGCCAGAGCGCGCGCGGATAGTCCCTGAGTCTTTTCGCCGTTCGCTTCAGCACCCGAGTACATGACGAACTTTCCTCGATTGGATTTCTTGGAGGTAGCAACATGCTAATTACATCAGAATAGTTCCCCAGTAAGCAGTAGCTCAGTGGGCGAGACTTGTCAGACGGAAACCTTACTGATTGTGAGACACTGATGCCTCCTTTCGGCCCTCCAAATTTACTTGGTGAAGAGTTGACGAACGTGCTTTCGGACGGGGTCGGGGTATTGGAAGGCAATGCTGACTGGAATGACTGGTCGGGGGCCATTATTTATGGGATATATGAGCAGAGAATTGTGTATGCAAAGGGCAATCGACACCTCGAAATTTGACATATCGTAGCACGCAGTCGTAGCGTCGATTGACAGCTTGGCGGCCCCGATGGTACATCCATTGAGCAGGCAGGACAACTGTAAAGTCACTGAATTGTATTAAGTACTATATATAAGTTATGGCTCTTTATCATGTACACATGTATCTAATGTATGTAGCAGCTAATCTGAGACAGTACGTGAAGAGATGAAGACAACAGGCCAACCACGACGGGGACTTGGACGGATTTTGCGTCCCAAGTCGACGCGCGGCGGAGTTGCGGCCACGTGTGCCACGCCGAGCCGCGTTCGTGGTCCGTTCCCAGAAAGGAAGGTAGCTGGGGCGGCTTCTTCTCCGGCGATGAGCGGGCATTCAGTTTAGTGTACACTGATCTTTATATACAGCAGCCGCTACACAAAGGATTCCGTTGAGGCTGTAACTTTTGCTTTGTGTATCCAAAACCAGATGCGGATAATGATCAAACAGAAATGGATTCAGTATCCCCCGAATAAAAGGTTCCCTTTCTCCCTCTTTCATTACAATGCATAATATTTTGTGCCCGCCATGCCTTATCTTTAGCACTGACTCGATAAAATATATTGCTCCGGCTGAACACAAAGTACCGGTTTCAGTCCCGGCCCCGCCAGATAAATTCCTTCATGAGTCCTATATCGGCATCGGAACACAAAGTTCCGGAATGAGGACAGCATCCCGTTCCGCAACGGCAG